TAGAACATCCGCTGAGGAACAAGCAAGTTCTGGTGACAAAGAAGGTTCAAAACGCATTGGGTACTCGACATGGCGAGTCTCAGAAAAGTACCAACATTTTCGAGGAAAATCCATGACTATGGCGGCTGCAAATAGGAAATCCATACCCAGCAGTGTTTCATTGTCTCGTGATTCAGGGAGAATAAGGAAAGGAGTCCGAATGACCTTCTCCTCTAAATACACGTCAAGGTCAGTTATCAAAACATCTACGTCGCGCGCGTGTCCATCGGCGAGTTTAATACGTCTTCGAGCCGGTTGAAGCGAATGACCCTTGCGACGTAGGAGGGTGTGTAGAGTGTGGCCCGCAATACAATGTTTGGCACCGGTGTCAACTAAAGCGGTTCCCGACGCGCCTAAGATTTTTATATCGAAAACCGGACGCGAAACTTTTTTAAGTTCGTGGTCGGTGCTATCACCGGCGCGCGTGCTCTCTACACTATAAGTGTCACTACACATACACACCTTAGAATTAATAAAACTATCCTTAGAATTAATATGTGGACAATAAAAATCACTTTCTATAAAATTACAAAAAATATGGTTACTCCGTTTTACATTGCGAGAGTTATTATTAAAAACATTCTGAAAAGTACCAAAATCGCTTTTACGCCGTTGTGCATCACGAGCGTCACAGGAACATACAGTATTATTTGGTACCAAAGTACATAATTGGTGTTTGCACCCTAATTTATTATGAGCGTTATCAAAACAAACATGGTTATTATTATAACGAGAATAGGTACAAACATTATTTTTATTAACTTTACAATCCGGAATTACAGCTTCAGAATCCGGAATAAAGATATTACGTTGAGACATTTGTATTGGATCAGAAACACATCGAGGATTAATACTATAAAAACTTTGTTCGTTATTGCACTTTTTACAATTATCACGAGTTACGTCTTTTGTTCCGCACTTATAACACGACACAGAGTTTTTAAAATGAGCAGCTGACTCACCTGTGGCCGTGTCAGATAACTTACGGCACTGTTCACGTTGGTGACCGTAGTTCTTGCAGTACACGCAGAACGGCCGCATTGGCGGTCGCGAAGGCGCCGATGTCGTTTTCGCGGGAACTCGCTCGGGCGGGCCGCGCGTATCTTGCGGCGCCTGCGGCCGCTCGTCGTGCGGGGAAGCGCGCGCGGGAACAGGGCGCGCGCGCGCTTGAGGCGGGGCTCCGTTGCCACCGCTGCGTCGCGCGATGGGTGCTCCGTACGGGTCCGCGCGTATTGTGGGCTTTGTGGAGTCAAGCGATTCCTTTTTTGTTGCCTCGGCGATGGTTTCCTCAATCAGTCTCGATTTATGTAGTAGTTCTGAGAAGTTATTGAATTTTTCGCGACGTAAACGCTTTCGTATTTTGCGATGAATCAGGCCGTAAACCATATCGAGCTGCACCTTCAATGATAGGTCGCCCGGTGGTAGGCGAGTTAAAAGCGCTCGGCTCTGCGCCACGAAAATGTCCGTGCGAACATTATCGGCCTGTTCGACTCTAAATAACTCTCTATATATTTTGTGTTCGGGGCGGCGATCTCCGTATGCGTCGCGAAGGTACTTGATAACGTCCTCCCACGACGAGACTTCCGAACGGATGCTCTGCCACCAGGTTGCCGCTTCTTTCATCAGCAACATGGACATGCCTTTTATGGCCACGTCATCACAAATATTCGTGCACTCCTTATATGCTTCAATGGCATCGATGAAAGTGTCAACATTTTCTTCTGCCAAACCTGAGAACCTGGACGAGCATCGTGCGAAGTTGCCGGTTTTCTCTGCCGCGCTCGGCGTAGGCGCCGGTGACTGAGCGGCCGGAGAGAACGCCGTCGTAGACAGGCGCTGCAGCATGCGCTCGCAGACCTCCGCATTGGACTGCTGGATTGTTGACAGCAGTGCGGTAAAGTTGTCGCGAGACATCGTGATGCTGTCGTTCAGCTCTTCATCGTGCGAGCCATTGAGCGATTGTTGTCTGCGTGTTCGCGGCATTTTCACAACGCGGTACACAAACACGAAACTTACACACGAGTTTATATAACACAGTCACACTATAGGCACTGAGTTTATTAGTTCTCCATGCTGTAACATGAGGCCCTCACGTTGGGACGCCAGTTTTCGTGTAGGACCGTTATGAGAGCACGCGCGGCGGATCGATCGACACGAACACTCGCTGCCTCTCGCGCGCTCCTGCGTCGACTCGACTCACTGAAGTAACGGTCGTTCCGTCGTTCGGCACCGCGCCGCCGAATGTCATGGCGCGTTTTCTCTATACTTCTGTCCCGCTCTTACGCCTCCAGTGCGTAGTCTCGGAAACGAGCGGGAATGCAGGCGTGGCGGCGTCCGGAAGCCCGTGGGCCAATTCGGCTTGCGACAACTTACTTTTCGGACGAAGCCTACAGGATCTCCGTATACCGAATTCTATCGCCAATGCCTTGCCTTGAGCAAGCATAGTGATTAATGCTCAAATCTTATCCGTGTGAGAAGAGACTTTTGGTCAGCAGTGGCCACTTATAGTTAAGTTCTCCAATATGCATATGAAGAGTTAAGTAGGTACCTAAATAATACATTATACATACCTATATCTGGACCACCTAAACTATACATATACGTACCTAGGTCATTGCTAAGTTTCATGACAATATCACAAGTTCGAAGACACACACATAAGTAGTCGTATTGTCATAAGGACTTACACGAAGACTACTCAAAAAGGACCTGTCTACCAGTAATCGTAACGAGCAAACGTTCGGCGCTCGATTGGCCGGCTCTAATGAACCAACGTTGAACAAAAAGGTTGGTTCATCGTTTCATTGAGTGCTTAACCCCTCGAGCGTCCTTATGAGCACCCGGTGGATCATAAGAAAAAAATGCTCCATGCTGCTTTCTCTTTTATAAAACCTATTTATTATTAATGTTTTGTTTTTATTTTGACTGTATTTCTTTTATTTATATTGTAATGATCCTCGTTTTCGTGTGCCAATGGCCAAATAAATGCATTTTCTTTCTTTATTTCTCCAACATGTCACGTGTGCACCCGTTGGATCATAAGGAACGCGGACACTCGACGGGTTAACCCGTTTTGTGTGCCTCTGGTCCCAAGTTGAATGGTGACAGCTCCATCTCCATCATACAAACAAACAATGTCTAGTTAACTAAAAAGTACGAGTTACGTAAATATACTGAGAAAAGCTCTACTAGTTTCGTGTCACAGGAGGACTCTTCCCCATGAGCAGCGTGCGCGGTCGTGGCGATGTAGGGTAGACTGCGCGAAGTTTCTGCCAGTGGCTCCACCAGCGTTCCAGACCATGATCTAATAAAATATAATGATATAATCTACCCCTGTTCAAAAAGCCAAAATTCTGGCGGCAGTCGATAAATTATGGGCTCATATATGGAAATCTCAGTCCGCACTTAGTTATGAGCGTATGAGCAGCAGTCGAGTCGGAGTTCTCACAATTCCTGACTTCAAATTGCGTGCCACTGTACGCCTGGCACAAGTATACCATACCACACCACCACATGAATGGTGCCAGGCACTAATTTTTATGAGCTATTTTCTCTCAGTCGATAACTTATGGGATGCGTCAAGGAGTTGTGTCATGAAGCTTTGTTAGCGTCAGCTGCAGTACCAGTGGTAGGTTGAGTAGAGTATACCTACTCTACTCTACTCTCCACTAATCGTGATTAGTTACTAATTGGGAGGAAGTCGGGAAAAGAGAAGTCGAGAGAAAAATGTTTTATACGTGTTTTGAGGATTGCCGCTATTCAATCCGCTACCAAAACCGCAGTCGTGAAACATATCATTTCATGATATGGCTCAGAGAAGTATTTTGCGGGTTTTAGACTGAGAGGAAATTGGTCATGAAAATCTGTCATAGGCTATATATATATAAAGCCTATAAAGTCTTCAAACGAATTTTTTTTTTACTTGAGCCGTATCTTGTTAAAACGTTCATTTGTTTAAATACACTGTTCTGTCTGATTCCGTGGTTTTATAATAATAAAAAAAATGTTTACAATAAGAACATAACATAACATCACGCCTTTTATCCCCGACAAAATAAAAAAAATATGACTAATATTTTTTCATTACGTAACTAGCAGATTAATTAGCTATTATTTTCATACCGTCATCATCCCTATAAAAGTTTGAAGTCATATCATGTCTAATAGGTAGTTAAAACAATCGTTTAGACTAGGAAATCAAAGACCATGTGTCATTGCGAATATAAGTATTACACCTTATAAATTAAACCTGTATAACTAGTATTTTGACAAGTTTAATTTTAATTCGACCAGTCAGAAACATTAAGTGTGTGAGAGCCATGCCAAGTGTGGGAGAGCCATGCTTCGGCACGAATGGGCCGGCTCGACCGGAGTGATACCACGGCCTCACAGAAAACCGGCGTGAAGCAACGCTTGCATTGTGTTTCGTCGTGTGAGTGAGGTTACCGGAGGCCCAATTATCCTCCCCTTTCCCAATCTCCCCAATTCCTGAATCCCCAACTATCCTCAAACTCCTAATTCTCCAAAAGGCCGGTAGCACACTTGTAACGCCTCTGGTGTTCCAGGTGTCCATGAGCGACGCCGATTGCTTACCATCAGGTGATCCGTCTGCTCGTTTACCGGCTTATGCCATAATGCCAAATAAGGAATAAAATGAAATAACTATAGTACTTTAATATTACATTAATTTTATTTCCACACAAAGAGGTCTTTCATGACAAAGACAGTTTTAGTTCCAATACACTTTTTTCCCACCCAGTATCTTTTAAAAACAAAAATTAATGATCTCTCTTGAAAGGTAAACAAGATTTCTTGAACATGTTATAACTAAATATTTTAAAGACTTAATAGTGTGGAATTTTTGGTGTAATGTGTTCCATACATTTGACAGTGTATCATTTTCCACAATTTACTGTATGATAGATAACTTACAATTTAGGGAATGAAATTATTACTATATTTTATATTCTATCTAACGATTCCAACATTACAATGCTATTTCCTCGGATCACCTGAAAAGAGAAAAAAGTTGTATTAAACAATTTGCATGTCTAATGGACTATTATTTGAGAAATGATATAACATAACAGATGAACATTATGGCACTTAATGACACTGTACAATCTAACATCCACTTTTCACTATTTATGTTATGAGTCCCATGTAATAGGGGTTGAACCTGCACAATTCCAGACTCTGCTACAACTAAGAATGTTTAAAAAAACCAGTAATACATTGCCTGACCCGGGAATCAAACCTGAGACCTTTTGCCTAGCAATTGCACTGCGACTACTCGGCAAGCGAGGCAGTAAATGATATAAAGGAAGTTTGTAATATATCGGGGTAAATTAAAAAGATGTGACCCCAACTAACTTGTTATTAAGACTGGAAAAAATACACAGGAATAATACACCAATGGACAGCATAATTTAATAAAATATTGATGTTTCAAATTTGCCTATAATATGGGCTATATGTGCATTAATATAAATATACATATTAATTTGCTTTGACTTTCATCAGCAAACATCCTTATTTTAAATATTTCAGTCAACCTCTGATGGATTCACATTATGTAATTTTAGTTACCTACTTGAGAAATAATATTGAAATTGAACAAATACATACATTTCAATATCAACAAAACTGAGTCTCAAAAATCAAAATGTGGTTGATATTGAATGTATGGACCTAAATAACTGGTTGACATTTAACATGGCTGACTATTGAAGTGCATTGTTCAGCACCACGGCTTTGGGTTCACTATCACCAAAATGTACAAGACGTAACACTAGATACCTACGAATTTATTTAATATCTCTGTAATGTATTATAACTTTCATCGAAAAAACTGTTAAAATGTAGTCAAGTATGTTCAAAGCTTCTTTCTGCATACTTGGTACTTATCATGGTATTTTATTAATAGAATACCAGCCAGATGGTGAGCGATCAGGACTGCCCAGCAAGCACACTTATTAGGAATATGTTATTGAATAAATAGCAGCAATTGTAAGGGATGTCGCTGATATTTACAACACACTTATATTATAATAGCAATTAGCTATAATATAGGTGTATGCAATTGACAGGTAATATAAACCACAGCTATTTCTTATTTATTAATTACTTACCACCATGCCTATGTTGTTTCGCTGACCATCTTTGCATTCTTCAACCGATTCATCCAATACTAGATTCATGAAAGGATCAAAACCTCGTAGAACACCGGTCACTGCGCGACCAGCGTTCAGTTTAATTGACAACTTCTTGTCCATGAACCTGAAATCATTGTTTAACAATCACAGTCACAAAAACTCACAAGTTACTTACGAATATCAGAAACAATGGAATTTGGAAACGATAACATGGTGTTTTACTGGATTTAGTACACAAAGTTAAGAAATAATTCGTTTTGTTTAGGTTATCAATGACGCGCATGGGACGCTATACTTCAAAATCCCGTGTTTTAACAATTATTTCAAACGTGTTACTTACTTTTTCAATTCTGGGGGGTGAGCTTTCGACATTTTTACTCTTTTTATTTATGTTTTATTCAATTTAGATAACTATTTTTACAAATCACAATATTTTTGTGTTCCGGCTAACTATAGTTTGTCCGGCTTGCACTTAAATTTTCTACTAAAAAACGGTAGAAATGTAAAATGAACAAGAGACGCGTATTGTTAATTTTCTACCGTTTTTGAATGTTACCAATATCTATGGAAATAAACGGTATGATTGGTGTATTGGAGAGTATAATTTCATTGTTAAATTTCTATAGTTATAAAAGTAGCAAATTAATATACATTTACATTTCTTACAATTTATATTCCTAGGCAAAAATAATAAAAATATGTACTGTGTAAGGTTATTAATTAAAGATTATGGTTTCCGAACAGACTTTCTTTCAGGTGGTTTCTGTGTAGCCATATGCAATAATGAATATAACCATTAACATTTATGATAACAAATTCTTAATATTAAGGTTTGATAATAACAGGAAATTTTAGATTGTATCAAATAGTATGATCAAAATTTTGGTACCGTAGTTTTTAGAAAATTAATAAGACTACTATGTGTCATAATTATTGCCATTTCATAAAAATATTTTTGCAAATGTAACCCAATTTATTGTCAAAGACGACGAAATTCAAACTTATCTTACGAGATTGAGACAATTTTAATTTAGTAGAACTATAGTCATTCCTTTTATCACACGTCAAAATAAGTTTAACCATACAATAGCAACAAGTAGACAGCTGGGAGGATGGATGCTGTTGTGATATTCATCAACTGTTGTAATAAATAGTCCGTTCGATTAATGACTATGGGATATTAGCGCAACGTCGTACGTGTTAGTAGTGAAAGTTTGTGTTTGTGTTTCACGTTAAAAATGGATGAATCCGGGATCGACATGGGATTCGATCTCGCTACGTTCCTCACGAAAGATTTTAGTGTTGACCAAAAAGTCTTGGAGGAGATGACGGCTGCCCAACAACACCAGGACTTCATGTTCTACGAGCTCAAATCAAAAGCAGTGCCGATAACAGAGAGGTAAGTGGCACATTTTTTATAAACAAGTCGTATCATCTATTTTGTGATGCGCTACTGCGAATGTCTACATTACGAATATTTTTAGCACATCATAAGGAACAATTTCACCGTAGTTCGTACGCCCGCGACCCTGAAAACTGGACTTGGCAAAGCCCCCAGTTTCACCTCTTGTTTATCTTTGGTCTACACAATTTTGCAAACATTCCTTCGTCGGATTTAATGTGTGCAAAACGAAACTTACGCTTTCTTTTGCATTATCAGCCTTAACACGTGACTCTATTATTTAAAAACTGGTTCTAGCGCGATGTTTGAATTTTCCCGCCGTTTTTGGAGTTAAACAGACAACGGTGTATTTTGTTCCTTTTTTTTCACTAAAATCTTTGGTTAAGAAGGGGTTGTAAATATTTTATTATACCTACACAGAATTACTTACTTTCAAAAGTGACCTCCTTTACGGACCGCAAGGCACTCGACATCTTTTGGCTGTCTAAATGGTTTGACCTGTGATAGGTGTGATAGATAAATAGGTAGGTAAAGTAGCTGCCTAATTACACGATTTGATCTTTTAGATGAATTAGTTAAATAAGTTTTCGACATAGGAGATACCTACTCAATTAAGGAAACGGCGCGCAGCGCACCTAATATTTCTATGGCATTGTCCCCAATTTGAAATTGGAAATATCGAATCATCATAATACTTTGGACTATAATACGTACTTACCTACTGGTGTCATAGTCGTGTTATATCGGAAGCTGAAAAAATGGGCAGAATTGTAATTGCATGTATTTTTCACCATACGTGCATAGTTAATTGGTCTGTATCGCACCGAATGACATACGCCGCATTGATAATTTGCGAATACAAAAGCAAACCAATCTATTTTTCACTGGCACTTATGGCGGCTCGAGCGCGTTCTATGACCTAATAAACATTCATGATCTTGCTTGTGGACTGCAAAAATTATATCATGTTGTGGCAGGACAGGAACTTAAAGACATAGGTAGTGTTGGTTTTTTACCCAGTTGCAAGAAGGGTAACTATTATTTTTACTTAACTCCTCTTATTGGTAACAGTTGGAATTTATTTATTTATTTATTTATTAAAGGCACATCAACAGTATACATATTATACACTAGCCATAATACAGTTGAATACAAAATTAAGAAATTCTGATATGCATACCAGTGACAGATGTACACAACACTCACGGGATCATAAATTCCATGTACAATTATATTAGTAAAGACAAAAAAAAATCAAAGCAAACAAAAATAAAATAACAATAATAATTAAAAGCAATCCAATAATACTACTTAAATGTTTTAACTACTTTATTCCTAAACACGTGAAGCGAATCGTGAAAGATGTCCAAGTCCAAGGAATTGCATGATAGTCGCTGTGGCTGTAAATAGATTGGACAATATTCCCGCACGGAACTATCTTTTGAATGATCCTCGTCTCCTCGAATGCGATATGAAATTTCTTACAGCAAAAATTGAAATCTGGGCTGTGCCCTATATCCAATATGAGATGGGAGAGTTTATTGTTTGTAGTAACTATCAAACTCCTACGCATCCCCAAAAAGGACGTAAAATATTATAAAATTGACCTTAAAAATCCTCGAATGAAAGCCCTCATAAAAGGAATTTATAGCCTTTTCGTTTCAACGCTTCTATAAAACGATGCCACTGCCGTCTTTGTTTGTTAATTTGAATTATCCAACAAAATACTCTCATTGAATGTCGTATTTATTAATGTTGTAATTAATAATGAGGTCCATTCATCTTGTTAATTTGTTTGTCTATTCAGTATTATCTTCGAGACTCAGACGGAGGGGATGAAATATTCATAATAAGTACGACTATTATTCTGTTCAAACTTTGGCATTATTTTTGACGTGGATGCAGTTTTCAAGTTCTGCAGCTTTTAATTTTTTTAAGTCGATGATATCCACCAAAACAGAGAGGTAATTTAGTCACTCGTCTCCGTTTGTGTTTCCCTAAAAATTATTTCTATTTCTTTTTTTTATGGGATAAGGCGGTAAACGAGCGTCTGCTCGATCCGTCTGGATCACCTGATGGTATAAAGCAATCGGTGCCAGCCATGGACCCATAATAAACCAGAGGCGATACAAGTGCGTTACCGGCCTTTTCGGGATTGGGAATTTAGAGATTGTTGTTTTTTTAATGAAATAGGACGCAAACAAGCAGACGTATCACCTGGTGATAAGCGACCAGCGCTGCCCATGAACACCCGCAACACCAGAGAAAGCACAGGTGCGTTGCCGATCTTTTAAAAAGGAATACGCTCTTTTGAAGGTCGTATCTGTTCGGTATTACGATACGCCGACGATAGATAGGCCTGCCAACCATCTATATGATGGGGATGCATATGTTGTCGACAGGGTCGATGGCGAAAAGATGCGACAGGTTCAAAGATTGGAGAAACTGGGCTTCCGGTAACCTCACTCATACGACTACGCGACGTCGTTTCACGTCGGTTTTCTTCGAGGCTGTGGTATCACTTCGGTCGAGCCCGCCCATTCGTGCATCGTATTTTCAAAATTATACCGGCGAGGCGATTTAAACGAAATAAGTTATCTATGTACATACCTATTCAGTTATTTACTCATCTTAATACATTCCTTTCCAACCATTAATTTTATTGATCTTGCCTGCACCTATCTAGACAATTAACTTATCGTAGTTTATTAGCCTTTAGTTTTAAAGTTCAATTTTAATTTTACCTTCGTCACGCATGTACCTACGCGATTGTCCCGTAATATTTGCTTAAATGATAAAAACGGACTCTTTATTTGGAATGTCTAATGTCTCCAAACATGCGATGTGGTATTAAAGCTGATAACCGGTTGGTATTGAGCAATGTTTGTGAACCAGGAAAATATAGGAGCCGTTTTCGCATCGTCTACAGTTTGCACTGTAATGATGTCGAGAAAGTCTTGGTGATATTTCCCGGAAAACTAGTCACTAGAATCCGGTTTTGGACTCAAATCATTTCAGAATTTTACTCCTCTATTTCGGTCAAACATCGAAAATATTTCCAGTAGTTAGACATAACTTCCGAATTAGAAGATAAAAAATTGATATTGACCGCATCGTCGCACTCGATTTGAACAAGTTTATGTAATTCTATGATACAGACTTCCTAATCGGCGAAAGTGTCGATTTTGCGAATAAAAGAGGCCAGTGAACGATTCCGTGTTTTATCGACCCAATAAATTATGATAAAATTGTGTGGGGACGTGTAAAGATTATGTCAAAGTATTTTTTTTTAATTTAACAGGTGATCTATGAAGTACAACGGAGCAATAATTGGTTAGTGAAGTAATTACACCCATGCTCTTACAAAATATGATTTGAACACTTAAGAGGGCCCAACAGCTCATGTAAGGCTGGACAAAGTATTTATAGGTCTAATAGACCCAATAAATAAAGATAATATAAACAAAAACCAGAAGCCTTGCCCGCTCTTACTTGACCTCGTAAAAGATTCGGTGTTTTATCTCGTCATCGTCATGTGATTTTATCGGTTACATTTGTAGATCGGTCAACTGAGTTTTTATCGGAACTACATTTGTTGATAAATATTATAATAGAAATACTATTTCGGTACTTTATATTGTTTGAGACATCGGTATCGAAGCAGAAAATAGTGCTATTGAACGAGATTATAGAGATTATAGAATAGCACATGATACAGTAGGACTAAAGATAGTTGTATAAGATGACACCAATTGATAGAAAGACGTGGTGGACAGAGAAAAGTTGGTAGAATATTTAGTATAAATCATAATAATTATAAGATAAGGAAAGATAGTCACTAAAAGACGAGTTTTTGAATCCTTAAAAATATGAAAGAACCGGCCACCTAATTATACAAGTAGTCTAAAAATCAGGTTTCAAGATCAGAAGAAGCCCCGGTTTGACCTTCAACGTTACGATGAAAATAATAACTGTACTTATTTGGTTGAGGAAAAATGGATGTGATCAAGATTTAAATGCCTATTTAGGTGTTCTATAAAATATATGAATGATTTGAGATTAATTGCCTTTTGAAGAACCAATGCTGAAATGTAAAGTTACGCAGTTGCACTTGTATGTATTTTTGCGGTGTTTCGGGTGTCCATGGGCGGCGCTGATCGCTTACCATCAGGTGATCCGTCTGCTTATTTGCCTCCTATTACATAAAAAGAGACTATCAAGAAAGACGAGCTCAAAACTTTTTCCGACATACGACCTCAGCTTTGAGTGGCTTGAACAACATCTGAGGGCCAAGCACGAATAACTATCGCATTCGTCACGTAATAGTATCGAGCGCGTTCGGCGCACTGATTGGCCGGCTCAAGTGAACCAACCAATCAGAACCCTTAACTCGCTCGATACTGTTACGATACGAATACGATAGTTATTCGTGCTTGGCACTCAGCACACTTTTCGAATAACAAAAAAAGGAAATTTTAATAGAGCATTATATTATCAGGATTTTTAAGACTATTCTAAAGACGCTACAAAAGACCTTTGAAGTGATCTCATCGACGTCATTCTGCTTCGATAAGTGTTGTTTCTTCTCTTGGCTTAGGATGTGAGGATCAAATCGTCATTATTTGATAACATTAGCTCACGCATGTGCTGTCATCGTGTAAGAGGACATCGCACTGCACTAACTTAAAGTTTTCCATCAACATCAAGATACGAGAGTATTTTTATTCCACAACTGATAACGTATCTGAATTGTCTCGTTGACTCCAAAACCCGTTATTGCAAGCATTGTTTTATTACATTTTTTATTATTTATTGTAAAACTGGTATTTTTGGATGTACTACTAGTTAAACTCGTTTTTAATGATGATTGATGATGCTGCAAAAGGCTACATGGGTTCCCGTCACCTTCTACAGGATATTGGTTAACTATGTATCTTAATGTAGATGATGACGGTGATTCGGCTAGTAATGAAATCTGCTGTAGGACTTTTTCATTAACGATTTAATAAAGTATTTCGCATTGAAAATTACTGTATTTTGGGACAAAATTGTTACTAATACAAATATACCGGTCACTAGTACAATCGGTCCTTTATTTAATATTTTCGTGTTATTGTTAAACTATTTATTCTAATAAAACAAAATAATATTACAATAAAAGTGAATAAAATTATCTCCCTAACCATGTTATTAATTTTTGTAAGTCTTTTAGTTTTTACGGCCATTGAGCTGTTTACAAGTCACAAGAAATAGTTTCATAAAACCTTCCTTATGCGAGTCAGAATCGAACTCGATCAGTTTTCACGTTAAAGAGGTCAATACGTGACAGTATGAACCATTAGTTAGAAAGAATTACCTCAGCAGTCTGTCCAAGGTCACGTTGTTGGCAGATAAAATTATTGTAACGACCTCCTTGCATAAAAAGACTACGTTTTTTTTCGACCTAAAGTGCTTACTGAATTGTGGATAAATATTATTTTTCTGTTGGTAAAGTTAATTCATAAGATTTGCAAAGATAAAGATAATGCCATTTACTTTTTCTCCGTTTTTTATAATTATTTGAAACTAGCTTTTACCCACGGCTTCGCACGCGTCACAAAATGATAAAAAGTAGCCTATGTGACACATACCAATACACACAGCGCCATCTATACCAATAATTTCGTTTTCCCTCGAGAATATTAAATTTTTCTGGGATAAAAATACCCTATTATTTAAACCAGACTTCTTAATTTACGTCTGCAAAAATTCAAAGCAATCGGTTTAGTAATTACGGCGTGAAAGCGGAACAAACAAACTCACTTTCCGATTTATAATATAAGTAAGGATGTATAACGCCTTAGTTTTATGGCTATAATGTTATACTATTTTAATTGAAATCAATAAATAGATAATATTCGCCATTATTCGCCAAATCAATTGTTGAACAGGCAATTTTATTCTTACTCCAGAACATTTTGGCTCATGGTAAGCTACAAAACATTACATAGAAAACAAAATAGTTTATTATTAGACACCATTGTTGTCATAAGGTAAAATTTCACCAGTTATATTTCAAGTCCTATCACAAAGCAAGAAGCTACTAAGGTATGAAAAGACCTTCAACTTCACAAAGATGTCTATTTCTATCTGCTACTTCTATTTAAAATTTGGTACGGTTAAGGATGTAATAGTATGTAAAATTGTAGATTAGATCTCGTAGGTACTATTATCACTGTTGAGATGAGTGCTACAATTCATTTTAAGATAAAGATCTTTATCTGCTGTATTGATGTTAGCGCACGTGTTGACAATACATCTTTAGTATCAACTCCCCTATATTATCACTTCTAAGTGAGATTTAACTAATTAACTGAGGGTGGCCACCGGGGTGGTTTTAGTGAGGTAAAAATCCCACACTCCGTAGTCTTTTATCCCCAAAAAGGCTAGGCGCCTTTTGAAGGTTTCCCCCCGTCATCAAAAAACCATCTTTATCGAACCATCTACATATAACTAAAAAAAAATCCTTTTCCAACTAAATGCTCTCATTTTAATGGTAACTAAATTGCCTTTAATACGACATACATTACCAATTAATAAAATACTTTTATCAGAATATATTTGGGCCTCCCGTAACGTCACTCACATGACGAAATCCAACGCAAGCGTTGTTTGACGTTGGTTTTTTGCGAGGACGTGGTATCACTCTGGTCGAGCCGGCTTATTCGTGCCGAAGCATGGCTCTCTCACACCTGTGAGGTCTTCGTAAATGTTTGAAATCACTTTTGAAGGAATCAGGGACTGCATAGGACTTCTTCAAAATAGAAAAGAAAAGGGTTTTGCTCACAAAATGTTTCTTAGGTACCGGCGTAGCAAGTCACAAAGCTATTTACTTCCGATATTATCTCTTAACGGTACAAGATAACTTTATAATAATGTTCGTTCAAAGTTACATAGTTATTGTTACAGTGACAAATACTATCGTGTTTGCAGAAGTACAAATGTGATCACGTGCTTTAAATATCAAGTAAATAAATATACATAATCTAAGTAGGAAACTCTGCAAACATTTTGAAGTCTGTGTCTCAATTTCTGAGACAGATTTACTGACAGACAAATATCTACATAATAATGTATAGGGGTGTTCCAATTAAAACTTTCGAATAGTATCATTTCGTAAGTGAAAATGTACCCAGTTGCGGACGATCTACTGCGGGGCTCCGCTCCGGCCTGAAGCAAGAGTAGAAACGTGGTGATTTTTAGACAGTAAGAGTCCGACACTCCGTCTTGCCTTACCCGAGGCGGGAGATGCCATTGGATGATTTCCTCCCACAGAAAGAGGCACGTCCTCTGCTGAACATAGGCCGTCTAATTACGAACCACAAGCCGTCTGCCAAAAATAAAGGATTTTGACAACCTTCCCTGAAAGAGGAAACAGTAAATGTCTTTTGGCTTTGAGAGGGGAAAATCATCCAATGACT